ATTTTCTCGACAATATGAACTGATTTCAGACACAATATACATATTTGACAAATGATGATGACGTCAAGTTGAATGATCGCTGAAGCGTCTTTGAATCTTGGATCCGTTTTCTAGTGCATGTGTATGTCGTTAAAGTGAGCATAACAAACTTCTCTGAAATGCTAGACACCCTGTATAATATTAAACAACAACGAATGCCCAGTGGTTCTTTGAACTTCTTCTAATTATTCGTGCAAGTATTCAGGTCAGCTACGAAATATACTTCGTCTCTCCGTGGCCTTTTCCACTTTCCTCTATGTAAGCGATACCGGCGTAAAAGTTTCAAGTTACGATTTGTTTTCAAGTAACCCGATACGTGGATGCAGATGTAATGCGAAGGGTGGAACCCTTGTATCTAATTTGGACGAGTTATAAATTTTATTTTTATAATTAGAAACCGGTGAAATATTAAACGGTCGAGTAATTTGCGTCGGAGTTTATTAGGTTTACTTTATTTTTTTTTCTTTTTTGATGTTAAATCTTTATTCTGTTTTATAAGTGCAATAGATATGTATGATTAAATCAGGGTGCAAAAAGGCAAAAAACTTTTGTATTTTAATCAGATTTTTGGACTTTAGTCAGATTTAGTTTATTTTTATCAATATTTTTTTTTAAATGTCTATACATATATGGCGGATTCATCTCTCCACAAAATCCTATATGGGTATTTCGCCACTGCAAGGAAATCTACAAAATAAAATAGTTATTTTTTGTAAACACTGCTGCACTAAGTTTGTCTCTTTCCGTCGCCGGAAGCAAAAAATATAGATAGAATAAAGAAAAAAAATATTTAAAATATTTGAATTCAACTATTTGAGAACACTTTAGTTTTGGTAAAACCAAAAAGCCCCAAACTTTCTGTATGATTATTTTTTAATTTTTACGTATATTATATTTTTATTTAACGTATATTATATGAAGAATATGTTATTTTCTTTAAAATCAAAGAATCGATTGCCATACATTACTAACATCTACAGATGCATGAGCAATACATTTATTTTTATTAGATTGTATTAAAAAAAAAATCTTTTATTTTTCTTTTAGAGGCTATCGCTTCTTTCATTTTCTTTTTCTTCTTTCTTTTTTTATGAAAGATTTTTTTGCACCTTGCATAAGATATTACAGTTATTATGTAATTTAAATTAATTTAAATGCAGTAAAAGGATTTTTACTGTATTTATATTACTGATAATAAACTCTTATAATAAACATGCCAGATGCTGGTTTATATGAAATATATGTATATATATGCAGTGATATAAGTGCAGGTGCATATATAAGATAAGATAAAAGCTTATTATCATGAAAAACGCGTTGTGGTTGTGATACATTAGGTATATATTTTTAATCAATATATACAACTGTAAAAAAAATGCCAATTGCAAGATTTGACATAATTATAAAAAAAATATTTTTATCAAATTATACGAATACAAATTAGATGAATAACGTCATGTGTAGACACATTTTAAGCCTTTCATTTGGTAAATCCAAAACTTTTAGAGCCAACACATGTACGAAACGATACTCCAAAAATAAACAAGGCCCTAATATTATTTGTCAGCATTAAAAATTTGTCACCGCTTGTTTATGAAAGGCAATATTTTTGTTTAGTCTATGGCTTTAACCACTCTGCGATCGTGGTGTCGAATGAGGGGTAGAAAAAGTAAACTTTTCCAGGAACGACTTCACATTAGAAAAATATATTTCGGTACGCTCACTACCTGTGGGGGCATAAATAATTTCACACGTTTAGAGGGTAAAGTTTATAGAAAAGCCTTTGACTGCGTTAACCATCAAAAACTTATAGAAGTCCTCAAAACAACCGGAATAAATAGAGAAGAAATTCGATTGATTACAAATCTCTACTGGCAGCAAAACGCAGTGGTTAAAATTGAAGGAACATCGTCAGAAGAAATCACGATTAAACGAGGTGTAAGACAGGGCTGTGTGCTGTCACCGCTCTTATTTAATATATATTCAGAGGCTATCTTCAAAGAAGCTCTAGAAGGGATCGAATGTGGAATTAAGATTAACGGGAAAGTGATCAATAATATCAGGTATGCCGACGATACAGTTGTGCTGGCCGAGAATAAACAAGATTTGCAGAGGCTAATGAATGAATTAGTTCGGCATAGTGAAAACTGCGGTCTCCTCATAAATACCACAAAAACGAAGGTTCTTGCATTCACCAAAACACCTGTGCAGATTCACCTGGATATCAACGGTGACCCAGTAGAGCAAGTGTCTTCATACAAATATTTGGGGTGTATTGTAAATGATCAATGCGACCCGAAGAAAGAAATTAGAAGCCGCATTGAACAGGCTAGAAAAACATTTATAAATATGAGACAATTTTTCACAAGGTCAGATTTGAGTTTGGAGCTACGGGTACGCATGGTCAGATGCTACATTTTCTCAGTTCTCCTGTACGGGTGTGAGAGTTGGACTCTTGACATATCGTTAGAAAAAAAACTAGATGCCTTCGAAATGTATATTTACCGCCGTATATTAAGAATATCATGGGTCCAAAGAGTTTCAAATGTGGAGGTTCTTAATCGAATGAGAAAACAGAAAGAACTCATGCTTACCATCAAAGAAAGAAAAACACGCTACATAGGCCACATAATGAGGGGGTAAAAAGTATGAACTTCTCAGATTAATAATTGAAGGCAAAGTCCAGGGCAAAAGATCTATCGGCAGACGCCAGAATTCCTGGCTAAAGGACATTCGTAGATGGTTTGGTTGCTCATCAATCGACATATTTCGTATGGCTGTATCTAGAATGACGTTAGCTATTTGGATCGCCAACCTTCGAAAGGAGACGGCGTCGTAAGAAGAAGAAGAAGAGGGTAAAGGAGCTTCAAATTTTGTCATTACGAAGTCAAATCTTTAAACATAATACTGCTCTAGCTTAACTGTGTACCTACCGCCTAACTGAAGTTTTTTTTTGTAAATCTTGAAAAAAAAAGAAAAAAGGTCTGCAATGACTAAGACCATGCGATTTGACAGTTGTTGTCATTTGTTCTCTATATTTTTGTTTACATTTAGGCTGTATTCCGTTGCTTATGGTTCCGTTTCTATCGGTTTCCTGAAAGTTTTCTTATTACGGAACACGGTTCTTGAAAAATTCGGTTATAACTGTCACCAAACTAATCAGCGCAAGAAGGCTGGTTTTTCTGGTTTTGTTTGTCAATCAATAACATTTATGTGACAGAAATCAAGCAAATATTGGAAGTTCGAGTGGAATTCTCATTTAATTTGTAAAATTTGTAATAATATTTTTTATTTATATCCAAAAGCAATGGAGCTAGACAGTAAAGGTAAATAAATTTCTAAAAACTAAATAGAATTAGTTTTTAGGACCGTTTAAACTTATCATGCAGCCATTGTTTCTTAAAGTCAGGAACATTTAAAGAAAACATGACAACAAGTAATCGTGAATGTTTTGTAAGCTATAAAAATATAAATATTGATTAGATTTATTTATTTATTATTGATCTGTTTTAATATTGGACCTGCAAATCTTCACTTGAGCTGTCTAACGAGTTTAACAGTTTATATTAGTGAAGTACTTTTCAATATTAAACACCATATTATATTATTATTTATTTTTATATTAAAATTATTTATTTGAATATGATGGAGTTTCTTCCATTAGTACAGGGTGTCCCACTAAGAATAGCTCTCGGCTGTATCTCGGAAAGTATTAGCCGTAGAGCCTACGGAAAAAAATAGCTTCATAATCTTCAGTAAATTTTGGATTTTTTTTGTTAGAACCATTTTCCCCTATCTGGTAAAATAAAGTGGTGGGGGAAGGTTAAATCTATCTTTATTTAAATGTTAATAACTCCAGACTGGATGACCAGAATCCAACAAACGAGGGCTCTTTTAAAAGAGCGTTTCTTACTCTATATTACACCATAAAAATAATAATAATAAGGTTTTAAACGTAAACGGCTAGGGGGCGCTTTCTTACAATTTAACAAACATAGCGCGTTTTTTCAAAAAAATTAAATACAATAGTATATGTGATTTTAGCTGATAGTAAAGAGTAGTAAAAGCTTAAAAACCGCATCTTGATATCTTCTTTCAAACTGAAGATATATATTATATTTTTACAACATGGTATCAGTAGCCCTCTTGATTATACCCATTTTAACAAAAAAATAAGATAAAAACAGTTAGTTTATTTTAAAATCGACGAAATACCAGAACACCATAATACCAGATGTATTCATATCTAATAATTAAGATATTAATAACAGTGAACAAGAAACGATGATTCAGTGAAGTCATGGTAGGCTTTGGAAAAAAGTTGCTTTTGACGTAATAGTATAAACGTCAAATTGTTATTAAATCATCATTTTGATAGTCTTAGCAGTGTTTTTTATGTTTTAATTCCTTTTTCAAAACGCATTTATTATTTGAAGTAGTTGAAGTTGTTGGCATTTTGAAAAAGCAATCAAAAGATAAAAGACTATCAAAATGTTGATCTAATAACAATTTGACGTTTATACTATTACGTCAAAAGCAACTTTTTTCCAAAGCCTACCATGACTTCACTGAATCATCGTTTCTTGTTCACTGTTATTACTATCTTAATTATTAGATATTAATACATCTGATATTATGGTATTGTGGTATTTCGTTGATATTAAAATAAACTAACTGTTTCTATCTTATTTTTTTGTTAAAATGGGCATAATCTAGAGGGCTACTGATACCGTGTTATAAAAATAAGATTGTTAAGGGCAAATTTTTTCGTGTTTATTATATTTTTGCTAATATCTTCGGATGGAAAAAAGATATCAAGATGCGGTTTTCACTGACTTCTTAAACTTGTATTCCTCTTTATTATTATTCCCAATTTATTACAACAAATTTGAATTGTTTACCTAATTTAGCTTTATTGTAATTTTGTTATTATTAATTTAATATTTTTTCTTTGTTTTCAGCTCGTATGGCTTGGTGATGCATAGATGAATTGAGGTAGGTTTATAAAAATATATTTAATTTTGATTGTTGTTCTAAATGATTTAAAAATAAATTTAGTCCTTGAAATGATGTCAAAATAACAAGAGTTTTATGTAGGTATAACGATTTTGTAAAACTGAAAGAAAAGATTTAATTGTTACTTCGAGAATTCACAAAATTACTTGTTTTACTTAATAATGTTAAATTTTAGGAAAAATCGATTAAAAAAACTCTACAAATATTTTTACTGCCAAAGACACTCTCTGCTCTCTTGATCCTAAAACTTAGTGAGGACGTTTTTTTTTTTATTTTAAAAGTGATAATTGCATTGAAAATTATTTTTTAATGATAAACTATTCCGAAACTAAACCATCAATTCCATGACTGACATTTACTAATAACCATTCTAAACCAAAGTAGAGCAAGAAAAATTAAAGCTCATTCTCAGCAGATTCGTTTATAATCTCCTCGACATTATTTTCTCATTTTTAAGTTTCTGCTTCGTAAACTCCCGAACCGTCGGCGACCGTAATCCCGAACACAAAATAATAAAAAACGTATTAAGCAAAAAGAAAATCTACGAGTAAATCCACAGGAACACATGACACGGTCTCGGGCTTCTTCTAATTTTCTGCTCCGTCAAAAATTCTTTCAAAACATGTTTATATCTTAGACCATGCGTATACTACATGGAGACGTCTCTTTAAATGTTAAGGTACTTGGAAGAGATGTGGGAGTATTTTTTTACTGGAATTTGAGTAATTGTCTGAGGATAGAGAATACTTTTATTTAATTCAATTACTCTTTTATTAAAATACGTATTGAAATACGTATATGAACCCTCTAATAGGTTTTCTGTAGGTTGGTATGTATTTTATTCGTAAGCACTGACTGTGTATGAGTCCTTTTAAAAACTTACTGCCATTTTTAGTAAAGAATTTTCCGTGCTTTTTGAGATAATCTGTGAAGGGCGCAACTGACGATCGAAAACATTTAAAGTTTGTCCCAACCAGCATTTCGGGATCGTTTCGAAATCGTACTCGAATCAGTTTCCTCGCCATAAATTCAAGGTCTTCCCTATCTTGTGCCACTGCCACCTGGTCATCTGCAAAATGAAGAGTATATAAGTATGTATCATTTTTTAATTCTATTTCCATTCCACTGCAGGATCTTCTCCATTTCTTTAAGGCTTCATTGAGGTAGATTTTAAAGAGAGCTGGCGATAGACAACATCCCTGACGAAGGCCTTTGATCACATAAAAGGTTTCTGATATGTTACTGCCAATTTTTATTCTGGAAAATGCTTGGTGGTATAGCTGTTTGATGGCTTTGATCGCTGTATTGTTAATTAATGAGTTCTCCAGCACTTCCCACAGCTTTTGGATTGGCACTGCATCATTTGCTTTTGAAAGGTCAACAAAAAGCAGATGAGCCTCTCTATTCCTTGCCACCTTCTTTTCATTAAGTTGGATTAGACTAAATATATGATCTATGCACGATCGATCAGCTCTAAAACCTGCTTGCTCTTCAATTTCTTGTGGACCATATTCTGTTGCTCAACCATATCTACCCACCTGATTGGTGTCTACTTCGGCGACGGGATCCTCCAGGTCTTTCTTGCCCTACCAGTCTCTCATATGCACGCTCTTGTTGACCGTTGTTTACAGACAGTGCTGCAAAGTCTCTGTGGTGATTGGATTTCAATTTTTTTGAAATCCAACCACCACAAAGATAAACAGAGCAACGGCCATGTCAGGATGTCTAAGGCAAATAGTGTGGACAAACCCCTTCATGTTGCAGACAGCAAAATTAAAATTTATATATGACCTGTTTATCAGGCCAATAATGACATATGGCATAGAAATCCGAGAGGAAAAAAACAAGACCAAAAGCATGTTAAAAGTCACTTAAATGAATAACCTAAGAACCATAATGGGGAAGACTAGAAGATACAGAATTAGAAACACAAATATCAGACAACAATGTGGAATACACGGCGTAGTGAGATGGGGTAGGCAAAGAAAAAGACAATGGTTCGTACACGTAAAACGCATGGAGGAAAACAGGCAACCACGCATAGCTCTTGAAGGAAAACCCATGGGTAAGAGACAGCCGGGAAGACCTCCAAAAAGATGAAAAAGAACTCAAGAACTCCTACAGAGGCAACCTTAAAACTAACAGATCAGCTAGATCTCAAATAAGTAAAAGAAAAAGAAGAACCTCCTCCAGCACCACATCTAGAAGTTGTGGTATCCACGTGACGTCTGTCGCAAGATACCCATAAAGAAAAACGTGTGTCTAGCATATTATAATGATCGAAGGTGTATATTCAGCATAGAATATAGTGAGGGGAAACGAGATACAGCAGGAACATCGGCCTATGCAGTGCGGGCGCGTGTTGCTAAATCACACGGAATTAAGTCAGCTTCACGCGAGCGTAACCGAACGCGGGCGCGGGCCCTAATTAATTTCGTCAACGGTTTAAGCCGGGTTCAGACGGCCGGGCGCCTATTAACCTGTCAGGAAAGTCGGTCGTCGACGTGTTCGTCTTCTCTTCTATCTTGTAACCCTTGAGCTCGCAATGTCAATGTCCCATTACTGAATCTGAACTTTGGCCCGATGACATTAGCGGACACACAAAAAGATTAGACAAATTTAGCTTAAAGTATACGGGATACGGGGTGATCAAAAATTATTGAAATTGTTGGCAATACCATGTTAGAGGATTTTACTGAACTGTAACTCTTTGACGTCAATTTTTTTGGCTTTTCTTGAAAATTTAGTAGTTTTGACTTTGTTACTTGCGAAATCAACATATTTTTCAAAGTAGAGATTACTGTTTTTCAATACAACTCTAACAATACAACAATAAAACTAAAATTTTGTCCAATATTCGAAACAATTTTAGTTTTAACAGGAGCTGGGCTGGAATAAATATTAAAACATTTGAATCACACTTTATATAGACCTTTTTAAAGGAGTCAACAGTCTGTAGTATAACAACCTATGCTCGTTCAACAAAGTTGAAAAGGTAATATTTTGGCCAACTGTATAAAAAAAAACAATTTAAAAGAAATAAAGGAACCTACGTTATGTTAAAAATATTTTCTTGTTGCGTGATTACCTCGGATGCGCTTGACAGAAGCAATATTTTGGGAAATTTGAGGAGGATAGGTTATATAAATCAAACGCCAAATTTGTAAATAGCCCTACTTATTTTATTAAATGAAATGAAAGGAGTGCCGTACTCTGCCTGGAATTCAAAAGTAAAAGAGCACGGGAGAAAAAACCTGATCACTATTCTAGAGAATCCAATTATGATTTTCTGAACTTTAATTAAAGAGAAATAATAATAAAAAAAATACTGTCTTTATACCAAGGTTTGAGGTTTGATACGTTCATAAATGAAGAGGTTTTGTTAGTTAGCAGGTCCCCACCTGCAGGTACTGAGGTCGTTGGGATGCAGGAGGCTACTCAGGCAGAGTTGATATGGTTGGTGCCAATATCTTTAGACTATGAGTTGTACCATTTATTGGTTTTGACTGCTGACTTGTTTACTAGATATTGCTAAGATATTCGCCCAGGCACGCTTAGCAATTATAAGTGCACGCAACAAGGCCCTTATTGTCACACTATCATACTGTCAAAAAAGTGTTGTACAGAGTACTGTCAAAAATGTTGTCAGAAATAGTACCAAGAATGTGGTACTGATATCATAAGTTGTGTCTTAAAAAGTCATACTGAACCAAAAACATCGATACGAATTACAGTAAACGATTGCTTTAAACTAAAAATGATTCACAGCGTCAATGGAATCTATTAAATACATATACCTATGATATATAATACCTTTATACTGTTAGATCAAATAAATAAGAAAAAACTTTAGAACAGAATATTTCAACAAAAAAATGAAATATATGCTTTAGTTAACAATAGTTAAATTACAAAAGAAACATTTACTTTACCTTTAATAACATTCTTTGTCACAATAACCAAAACTTACAAAGCAAAATAACATCAATGCGTCTTGAATGGTGGTCTAAAAGCCACTATTTAACACCTATCATCTCTATTCGTCGTCTGATTTCCTCTATTTGTACTTATTAAATTCAACACAATTATCTCATTCTGAAAATTGGAGAGAATAAAGAAAAATGTAAAAGCTTGTTTCCTTCACCGAGGCAACTAGCTGAACGGTATGAGCTGATAAATAATTCATCAGGTATCGCCCAAATTAAAAACCATCCTCATAGAATACTGAAAAATGCATGGCGGACAGTGGACGACACATCACCAGGTGCTAAACAATTCGAGGAAACAATAGATTTTGTTCGTGGACGTTGACATTATTTACAAGCCTTTCTTTTCCTATCGATTTTATTTTATTATTCCTTTGGAGGAATATAGAAAAATTGTTTAAATTGTCATCGTTTCAACATTTCACCACTTTCCGTTGTGATTATACCGTATGATCGAATAAACACGGCGTCAGCGATGGCTATGAAATGAACCATCGATGACATTTCCAATATAAATCTATACTAACATATAAAATCCTTGTGACTGACTCACTGATTAATCACGATCCTGCTCAAACCACTCAACGTAATAAGCTCAATTTTAAGATTTTTTAAAAATGTATACAGGGTGTTTCGAAAGATCTGGTCATTGATTAATCACGATCCTGCTTAAAGCGCTTGACGTAAAAGCTGATTTTTGGAAAACGGATTGACTTTAGGGTGTAAATGTTCGATAAGAAGGGATTTTTCGAAACTCGAATTCTAAGGGGGTGAAACCACCCCTCAAATATTAGAATATTTGTTATTTAAAAACCGGTGAGTTTCGCGTTTCGGAAAAACTCTTAAACACGTATATTTTATTTTGTTGTTTTACATATTTTAAGATTTTTTAAAATTTATACAGGGTGTTTCATAAAATATGACCATTGAGTAATCACGATTCTGCATAAACTGATTGACGTTTAAAGCTGATTTTTGGCAAACGGATTGACT